TATAACAGTAATTTATACAGTATTAATTAATGTTAGTGAACTAAACTGTGAATAACATTATAAACCTGCAGGAAATAATGACAATTCATTGATTATTATGAAGTACTATTCACTTAAGGAAAAAAACCAAATAATGAGAATGGATTTATTTTATTTAATACACATATTGATTACACTCAGGTAACTAACGCGTCTTTATGTCTGTCTACTCAAGTGTCACTCTTGCTTTAACAATACTGATTTCTAGCACCACTCAATAATAAGATGTTAAAGCAAGAGTTTTTATTAAACAAGCTGAAAACTATGATTAATGTAATTGATTCATCAAATCCACGTTTATAAACTCAGATTTAAACAGCATTTTAAATGAGAGCGATATCAATGTTACCCAAACACCCAAAGCAGTAGTGAGATGAGTTCTGAGTTTGTTGCTCAGTGATTGAAAGTTAAATAATAATTATGAAAGCGGACAACATTTATTAATATTCTGAGTGTTGAATGAAAGTTTAATTCTTGATAACACCACACTTTCTTATCCGAATAACTGGATCACAGTGGCTAAAATAGTTAACACGTCATTCAATAATATTCTGCTAGCGCTGAATAACACAAAAAAGAACTACAGAATAACCAGGAAAAAAAAAACTATAACCATATAAGCAGGACAATCGATAACAGAAAAAAATGAGTGATATGAAAACTCCTTCCACGCTGTATAAAATAACATACAAACAGAGTTGAAAAAACCTTATAAATGTTTCAAAATTCCTTGTATAGAAACTACAATCGACTTCTTTTTCTTCGGTTTAGTCAGCTGGGTACTTTACTTATCCTCGTCCAAACGGTGTGAGGCCAAGTATGTATAATCGTAATTGATAAGTGAGTTATATTTTGGTTATCTAGTAAGTCATGTATACATATATATGATTCAAATTCACATTATTGTTTATTACGAAATCGATTTTAATTTAACACTGTATTATATCGATTTGAAAACAGTCTAATTGGAATTATTTATTGTCGTTTTTTATTAGATGCATGTATTACGCAAAATCAACAAAGTTAGGCAAGCCACATTTCTATACATATGTGTACATCGAAAAGTAATTACAAATGGGTGTATACGCAATTCATTTGCGCAGTCAGTTATTTGTTTTACTTCGATTGTACTACATAATCAAGGTACAAGTTGATATGATATGATTTAACAAACTAAGCGAAAATTATTCTGTAAGTAACAAGTACTGACTAAACATAAAGACCTTCATCCTTCAAATATACTATGATACATGGAATATGAACGGCTCAGTACAGTATGATAGAGAATAAAGTAAATTTAAATACGATATAATAATCATGTGCCCTTTTGCATGTATCAGGTGCTATGAACAACACCGATTATGTAAAAACTAATAGTACCAATCTGCTATTCAAACTAAGGTGAATCAAACTTAGTTCAAACATAGTATGACTTATGCGTTGTGCTTAAGCAAACGAAAAACAGCTGATTTCATATTTTAACCCATCCCTTTGATTGACTTCAATAATAATTCGACAGTTATGAGGCCACAGTTAAAACATAGGATAAACACAAGTGTATAATCGCTATATGGTAAAGATTATCATTGTATAAATTATTCTACTAATCAAAAACACCCATTTCAAGATTTTTAAGTCGATTTATAAAGAGAATGAAACGACCAATACTTATGAAATAGTCGTACAGTATTTATCTTGTATTATGATCTCGAGACTTAAAAATCTGTCCTACCATATTCTACTTTTTAAAATCATAAGATATCCGACTAAACGAGTCTCATCAGTGCCAATGACCTGGTGACTGACGAAATCTCAGCACGGATACAGAAAGCTAGATTAGCTTTCGCCAACTTGCGTCACCTGTGGCGTAGGCGAGATATCCGTTTGTTGACTGAAGGACGAATGTACTGCACAGCAGTTTGCTCTGTCCTGCTTTATGGCTGAGAAACATGACCTGTAAGATTAGAAGATATTCGTAGGTTCTTAGTATTCGAAGCATTTCTCGTATATCCTGGGACAACCGAGTAAGTAATGCTGTCGTTAGGAAAAGATTAGTAGGTAGGGACGGCAGAACAATAGATGAAGTACTGAAACTTCGTCAGTTGATGTGGTTAGGACATGTGTTACGAGTACAGAACCACCAATTGCCGCGACGAGCTGTTTTATGGTGTAGAAGTAGGTTGGAAGAAAGCTAGTGGCGGCCAAACCAAAACATGGCACAAATCCAAGAAATCACTGACAAATGGACTGAGTCATGTTGGTAGATGCAGGCTACCTGGTTGGGGTCCGCGAGACAAAAGTCACCGATGGTTAGAGACCTTGAATGACATGGCTCAGAATCGTTTGCAATGGCTTTGGTGCATCCACTCTTTGTGTTCGCTCAAATTCTAATCTTCGGAATTCATCATCTCTATCTTTCTTTTTCTAAAATTATCTCACTAAAACATACTTCTTGAACAATAACTTCGAATCCCTTATATTCTCCATTACCAGTAATTCTTCTACTATCTCCATCACTATTGGATTTTAACTGACGGTGGCGTCTCTGTGCAAATGCGGTATGACAACTTGAACTGACGTACGTACGTCCGAAGTTCTACGTTTTAATTGACTGACTGACTGAATCGGGCAACTTGATCATATATCATGGAAACAGTAAACTCGTCAGAAAAGTATGGTACTGCTTATTTTTCTGCAATACGGTAAACAAGAAACTAAATGATTGCTGAAGTATTTACGAAAGGTACTTTAACGTCTATCAGTTCAAAAATTAATGACAAATACAGTTCAGTGACTAAAACTTTTGGGAACTTAATGGCTAATTAGGTTACTTTTTGACCACCAGTGTTACAGCATCAGACTTCACTCAGACTGCCTTGGCTCGAACAGTCGGATAGTATGTGAATATCACTCAAGTGTTTACTTGAACTGGAATCCTGTCTCGACCTAATATAGTTAAATAGTTTGAATCAACACATCGAATATGATCATTACCCTAAAACTATAATGTCACTCAAAGATATACTTATGAATATTGACTTATTCATGCTGATTATCTTCACTACTTGTTAAGGTTAATCAGTTGAGTTATTGTTTAAAATATCAAATGTGAACCTACATAATCATTTGTCTAAAAAGAGTCACATGTTCCTAAATTTTAATAAAATCCATTATTAATGGATTTTAATAAACTAATAATGTTTTGGAAGATGTTATAGCATTCATCTTGTTCTGATAAACGGAACAATTACAATGAATACATAAACTATGCTGACCATAATGTGAATTAATAAAAAAATTACGAAAAAATATTTTGAATACATTATGAACAACTGTTTGATACAACTTGATAGCTCCATCAACTAGTAGGCAGTGACGAATTCTGTATGACAGTACTTCATACATACATTTTACAGAATGTCGTAATTCCAAAGTTAACAACCACATTCAGTATACAGACAGACAAACCAAAATATCTAGTTTCTAGTTGAAGTTATTTGGAGCTGATTCTGATTTGATAATATTGGTCTTGAATTAATCTCACTTGAGATACTAGTGGGAAATAATACTTTTAATCAAATGACCAGACTAGCTCACGATAATTAGTTTCATGATGTGAGATAAGTTGTATTACTGATTATCAGAACGAAATATATATATAGAAAACGTTAACACTGAAAAATCTCCACAGATTCTTAAAACTATACCTGATAATTAAACCATGGAATTGCATAATGCATAAGTTATTCTCTTTCTATAAATTTTTCTCATTTCATAATACTAGTTCCTTTTTAGCTGGTTGTTCAGATCATTACGACTAAATGTGTAAAATGCTTACTAACAGTGTAAATTTATAACAATATGACAAAAACCACAAATTCCTACCTTATTGATTTTAATCTTTAAAGTGATCACGTTAAATCATCGTGAAATTCATTTCTAATTCCTAACTGATTAATAAAAGTTATTTCTCTTTCCCAAAAGTTCACACTCAGTGTACAGAAAAAGCAACGTTTACCGAAATGAGTATCCGTATAAAATCATATAAACCGATGGAACTGAAGAGTTTACTTGAAACATCTTGTCAGAAAATTAATCCAGGGGTCAAAATTAAACCAAATTTCATTAGTTCTAGTATCTACATTAAAAATGAATGAAATAATCTTAAAACTCTTAAGTTAAACTAATCAAGGAATCTTTCAGCATGAAACCAATATCGTTAAAAGCATACCCTAGGGAAAACTATTTAATTATGTTGAATAAAGCACAGAAATTTGACAACAAAATACCATGGTGAAATCATCCACAGAAATAATAGAAAATTCCATCTCACGTCAAATGACTATCAATAAGTAGCACAATCTAAAAAATACAATAGAACGCTAGAATAGGTAAATAAATTATTTCTAAGTGAAAACAATAAAAAGTATGCTTGGATGATCACATCATCTTTTCAATAATGATGAGTGTAAATTAACAAAAACCTATTGAGTTCAGTGGAAAGTGAAGTAATGAAAAGAAAAAAACTTTGAAAAGAATCCAATAATTGTGATGACATGAACGTATAATGGCAAATAGCAATCAAATGTATTTATAGATTAAGAAGAGCCCAAACAACAATTATTACCCTTATGTTCAAAGTGATCATCATATTAAATATAATAAAGAATTTCGCAAGTTAAGATTATCTGAGTCTCTGACATATGGACCTGAGAACCAGGTTCAGAAATATATATTTAAAATTGTATACTTTACAATGATTAGTTCTGTAGTTTTCGTAACGTAGTATAATAAATAAGTAACTAACGATTCTGAAATTCTTAACATATTGGGAAGTGAACTGTATTTTTATAACTTAAGATATAATTTACAAACTAAATGCATGGTCTTCCTAATGATCTAGTTAAACAAAAAACTAAAATGAACAGGTATATCAAGCATCAGAAATCTGGGCCACTTACTATAATAAGGAACATTTCTTATCCTTCTGAGATCCGTATGATTCTGAGATAGTAATTGAGATGTATCTGAAGAGGAGGAGGAAGAGAAAGATGAAGACACAGTAGAAGCTGGAGAGCCAGAGTGAGAATCATCTACTGAGTTATTTTCATCTCGTGGTTGATCGAAATCCAGACACCATGACTGAGGACGCTGGGAAGGTTGACAATGACTAAAGATTTGTTCTTCGTATAATTTTAAACTATCCGTCATTGCGAAACCTTTAGGTCGAGATATTGCACGTGTGCTAGGAATTTGTATCCGAAAATAATTTTGGTTATTAGTTCCAGAAAAACTAGACCGAATATTTTTCAATTGATCTGAAGTATTAGATCCTGAAATTTTATTCTCAGTAGGTAAAATATTCCGGTGTACAGGTGAGTTATTATTTCGTGGGGTTTGAGAGTTTAGCAGAGTTCTCAAATCATTATTTCCTCCTTGGGTCCTGAAGTCGGAAGTGCTATGAATCATGGTGGACTTTGCTAATCGAGCCTGTGGGGCACAATTAGTTTTTATGTCTTCGATCCCCATCGACTGAGCATTGGGCATTGCTTTGACGTAATGTTCACAGGAGGAATGGAAAAACCGCTGAGACAAATTAGGAGATAAGGCGTTTGTTAAGACACTCCGATATCGAAGCTTAGTACGTTCAGGATTTTGGTCGATCACGCTGAAACGCTGGGCTCCATTAGACAGTAAGTTTTCATATGAACCAGAGGAATGTAAAAATTTTGAAGGATTTCGGATGCTGATGAAGTTAGTAGGAGTCCTAGGACGTAAGTTGGTAAATTTTATTGGATTTGTAGTAGAAATACGCACCACAGTAACACCACCTTTTTTAACACAACTAGTGTCTGGATGAGGTAGCGGTGGCAGGTCGTTTAAAGTAACATTTTCATTTCGTAAATTTGGTATTGTAGTCTGTTCAATAGTCGATTTGGGACAAAATGAATAAGAACTGCCATCATTTCCGTTCAATAATAAAGCAGCGGTAGGGTTAATGGAAATAGAAAATGAATGTGAATTTGAGACAGGACAACGAACACTAGCTTGTGTAGTTATAGACAAACATGGTAGGGCAGAAAAACTAAGGCTAGAATTGTCAGTCTGACTAGTGGAGAGAGAGACTGAACTGCTATCGACCGGTATGCCAAGGTCGTATAACCCTGGCTCTCCAATCCGGCCTAATGGCGAGACTGAATTTAAATTAAATGAGTCATATCTTAACAACTTTCTGTCTGATGTTCCATTGGAAGCTGAGTTAGTTGCGCCAATCATTACTGCATTGCCATTAGCATGTGGGGTGAGAGTTGTATGGCGAATTGATTTTTCGTATTGGCTATTTACAATCTGCAAATTTTTTGTACGCGTCACATTTATGTCTGTTTCGAGTCCAATTGTAGGGGTGGGTTTATTTTGTTGATATATGCAATTTCGGTTGTATGAATTAGTAACGGGGCTTGGTGATTTTCTCTGTATCACTAAGCTATGTCGACGTCGTATACAACTTATTTGAGATTCTGTACCGTCCTTAGAATTGCATTCACTTTTTCGTGGTGGCGATACAGATCCATAACGAAAATATGACAAATTTATCCTTCCTTGTGGCGACTGGGACCTTCGGATTCGAATTTGTGACCCACCACATACACTGACACTAATATTCCTCTGTCTTAAATTTGAGATGTTCATTTTAGTCGTTTGACTGATAAATGCAGTAATGTAAGTCCTAGTTACGTGAATACACCGTTTCATAAGGTCATGAGAGTGACAACAATAAATGAGCTGCTTTTTGCAGCATTCTGATTGATATTGTGTCAATGATCTATATCCATGGTGCAATACGCCGCCTACGTATTGCTTCCAATTCACAGTTCTTTCAAGGTCGCTTAGATATCCACCCACCGTTGGTGAATACAATTTATTCAATATCCCGCCAATCGAGAATCGATTAGGCAAATCTGTCTGTTGATACAGTGACATGATAAAAAAACTTGTCTGTCATTATGCAGCCAGGATTTTGCAAATAAGAGGATGATGGAACATCAATCTCCACATGAGTGTGGAATCATATGTTGAACGTATTGGTTTAATAACACAATGATTTATCCTACGATATCATTTTCTTATAAACTGACCTACAATCATCTTATTTAATTAAAATAGGTGGGGATGGGTGGATGCTATAATTAAGGCGCAATTTTCAATTGGGTTCAGGCTTAAATAAACATTAGAAATTATATTTCATAAAACGAAAACGTTTATTTAATAAATGTTATTTCGAATTGCAGGGAGTATGAATGTACTTAACCATCTTAAACATAATTAAACTTAATGCAATTATCTATGAAACGTCACAGGTTAACAATTTTATTTTGTGTCAGAAAATTTAAACCGTTTATTTTATTAAAATAATCTTATTTTTATCCTCATTTAATATGAGAAAATATTTTGTATGCTTTACTCTTTGCAGCTATTTCATGTTAGTAATGCGTAGACATTGTAACCGTCTAACTTTGATTGTTAACATCGGGTGGAATATGAGGCATTGCGTACTATTGTTTTGAAGATAATTATGTACTGATGGTATTTTTTAGCGTGAGATCCTATCTCAGGAAATTTCAATGTCTAGATGTACCCGGACTGGTTTCCTAGTGAGATATGACAAGAATTTTCGTAATGTAAATAAGTAATGTAAAATTTGTCTAACTCATTAATTAGTTTACCGTATTTGATGTTAAATTTTTGTTCGTAGCAATTAACAATAGATGGTAATTCTATGTTGAACGATGTTAGTTTAAATTCTAAATATTCAATTTGAAATTGTTTAGATAATTTTGACTGAAAGTTGATCAGTCTTGACAGGCTTATGGACATCCTGTGTGAAGTGGAAGTGGAAGTGAACATAAACTCTGGGATATTGGCACATTCAGTTGATGAATCCTGAATAGGACAAAACGCGCATTCTAAATTCCACGGCTAAATACATTCCATCTATTCTATACGGAAATGAATTCCATTGCGGATTATAGATACACCTTGCCGATAGTCTGAGTCAAAAAGAAATTCATGATTTCTTACTAATTAATTACTTTAAAAAAATTTAACCACAGATTTTCAGTATAAACACAAATTGATAATTAATTTGTATTGACTGTTGAAAATCTTCCTATTGATGTTGTGAATTAAAATTGATGAATCTCTACTGGTATATTTATATCTTGTGCTGATAACCTTGATATTGTTAATAAGTCATACATTCATTATTCAATATTAATAGATCACAAAAAACACTAATCTAATTTGAATCTTGTCAACATTTTAAAGATTTAAGTTAGTTAGCTTAACGATGATAAGAGCATTGAAAAAGTATTGATTATCATTCATCAAAAAAGTCAAGCTAATTATTTTCTATATGAGATATTGATAATATTTTATTGTTTATCAATTAAATAATTCAAGTGTGGTGCGAGCTACTTATAAGTAGTATATGACGTGAGTGTCAACGTAATGTCTGGCAGCAGAAGATGGGGGAAGATCAAGAAAGGAAGAGTTAGAACACAATGGAATTTGTATGAAACGCATAAATAGTGACAATGGATTGATGTTTTGCAACAGGAACAGTCCAGTTCGATATGATGAACTGATATTTTGCAAATGAACGATTTACGATATGGTTTTCCTATTTTACTGAGTAACTGTAATTTTCGTAAATGCTGTTCGGTTGCCCAACCTGTGTTCTCGTTCACCACAGAAGCTTTCATTCAAGTATTAAAATGCTAAAAATCTAAGATTATAAATACACTTTGATTGTTCTTGTTATTGTCTTCTGATTAATAAGCTTTCACTACTATGCATTGAAAATTCTCATTCTTACAGTTTATAAGTTTATGTGAACTGAATAACTTTTGAATATTACTTAGATTATTCATATAATGTGGCATCGGTATCTAATACGAATTTTCTAATTTAACTAATCGATTTACTAACAAACAATGATGGGATTAATCACATCTTCAAAATGCATCAACTAATCTAGTTTGCATTTTTTTTTTCCAAAGCTGTATGAAAGAAATTATGTAATGTTTAAAAGGCTAAACTTTTGACTTTATTTTTTACTGATTAACACTTCAGTACATGTATCATTGTATGAAAGTGAGACCACTATAAAAATCCATTATTACATGTACAACGAAATTTGTAAAAAAAACAACACTTAATTCATCTTTATTTTCATGATTACTTTTCTAATTGTATTAAATTGATGTTTAAAGTGTTAACTATAGTTGACCATTTTGTATTTTATTTTAAGTGTCAAGCTTAAGTCTGTTGTAAACTTTACTTGATAACATTAACGTAACATAGACTAGTTAATAACCATTAACATTTATGTGGGTGATAAATGTATATCTTACAATTTAAACGTTGTTAACATTATCGATCATTATAGTGATATTTGTGATTATATTCAGGAAAATTGTTGAAATCAAATGATTTGCATAAACATTTTGTCAATTGCATACCTCGAGATTATTGATTAATTCAGAATGTAGAGGTTTAAATTTTCAATTTGAACCAGTTTGTAACATTACATGTTTTGCATCTACTGTCTTTGGTGTACCGTCACAGTTTACAATAAAACAATGACATTAATTCTGAATACTAGGCAGTGAAATCATATTTAAATAAAAAAATCTGTGAACTGTAATTTTATCTTTTTTCTAACTTCATCCTTTATGTATCAAAAATTATATATAGGCCCATTTCCGTACTGTAGATAGAAAGGTCGTTTAAAGAGAACGTTGGTTAGGGTTAAGCATTCCGGAAATACAGAATCAACTAAATTGGAAAAAAACTTAGGTGCTAGATTATCACTTGATGTTCTAATAGCAACAGCCTCATTGTGTTACATGAATATATATTAGGTAAATCGTCTTATCATGTCAATAGTTCTAACTGGAAATTAGTTCATTGATATCTATGGTGAAAATGATCTTCAATCTATTCAATTATTACTGTACTTGATGAAACTGAGAAACCGATTATATCTTAACATTCATCTATGGTATCGAAATCTTATTTTCTTTTCTTTCTAACTTTCATCAGTTCTCTATAAAACCTAACCAGTGTTTAATCACTGCTACTGTCACACATTTATACTTTTTGTCCGATTGATCAAACTCTACAGGTCATTTGTCTCCTACCGAGATTTTCACAACATATTGTAATTATTGAGATATCTGAGCTAGAAGGATTATTTGTGAAGTATTCATTGTTCTTCTGAACAAAATTATCAACGTGGACTTCAAAGCGAATCAAAGGAATCATTGAAGATTAACAAGCGTTGAGACAGTTTTTTCTTCATATACAGAAGTATTCATTTAAAAAAAATAAACATTTGTAGTTAAACTCATAATGCAAGAAGTAACAAATCAAGTTTTTCACGAAACATTCATCATGCTGATTTAGTCTAATATTAATATGGTCTATTTTTGTGTAATTACTCATCGATAAACATTCTGAACGAATAAGTATGACATTTCAATATTAGTCATTGATTCATTTAACCATACCGGAGTTTTTTGTTATTTCATGAATGAATATCTGTAAACCAGTTAAGCTAAACTTATATTTAAGGTACAGAAAAACTATCAAAAAATCATGTTGTGTTTGTTTAAACTACTTATGTACTCATACTCGTTGGTATATATATATATATATATATATATATATATATATATATATATATATATGTATATATTTGTAATAAATCCTTATTGATTCTTTCAGTTGTACATTTTGTTAATCTGTTCGATTCCATTTTGAGATGATAATATTTGTATTTTATTATAGTATCTATTTCTTCTTCCTTTACTGAGTTTCTGTGTTTCTTTCTGAACTGCATAATGTTGTTTAAGCTGATACTTAGTCACGGCTACAGCCATATTGATTTGTTCCTCTTTTGTTTGTGTTGCTTGCCTTGACTGGAATAGTCCATTTCGATTGTGAATTGAAGCACTCTTCCAGAATAGGAAACACTGTGTCATCAAGCAACCAAGTATTATCTGTTGAACGAATCTGATCTATCCAGGAGGGATCGATTATCATTTATTGGTTTCTGTTAATTGAATAATTGAACAGTTGTTGGTGGAATAACTAACTGGTAATATTCGTTTAGGCAATGACGTATATTTATATTTATGATGAATATTAGAACCGTTATTTACCCAAATCACTTGTTTTGGATTTCATCTGGGGAAGAAGCATTTCTAAACTACCTGGACAGTTAGTTATTCCTCAATGCAAACCTCAGTTTCGATCCTACATATATATTCAAGCGCCTCAATGATTCTATCGGATAAGTTTCTGAAAAGGGATATAACTAGTTAGTCTAAATCAATAACGGAAGTAATATGCATTCATTCATATCATATCATTCATATAAAACCAATTGTGTGTGTGTTTTTTAGTTATAGATATTTGATTGTAAAATCATTGCCTACAATCGAATTTAATTGTTATCGAATCTGTTGCTTTAGTTATCAGATGTTTTAAGTTACATGGAGAAATTAAGCTTACAACAAAAAATAAAAAAAAACTGATAACTTTATGAGAATGAATAATTCCATAGATTGTAAACGAAAAAAATTTATTTCATGTTTAACTTATCCCTTACATAATTGAAACTTTTTGAATAAAGTGAATATCATTAATGGCTCAAAATTGTTTGCAATAGTGCAGGTGTATTGATTCATTGTGTCCTCTCAAATTCTAAACTTATGAATTCTTCATCATCTCTAGCTTTCTCTTTC